GAGAGAGAGAGAGAGTGAGAGTGAGTGTGAGTGAAAAGAAAACCAGAGCCGTTGGTAAAGTTAATATATACAATGAAACGTGTATATTATCTGTTACTGCTGTTCGATATTGTGATGGTCGTTTCAGCTGTGTTACGACGAGGGTGACACGATGATGATGGTGATTCAGGACCATGTAATCGAGAATCCACTTGTCCTCTGCTACACTAAAAGCTCGACTTTATCCGTCGCTTTCTGCTCGCACGATATCGCGTTCCCTTTTGTTTGTTTCCCTTTTCATTTCCATTCTGCGAGACAAAGAGAATTCTTACATTCGCGTGCAATAATAATAATAATAAAAAAATAAAAAAAAAAAAATAGGAAGAAGAAGAAGAAAGAAACAAATACGTAAATTTGTTCAACAGTGTGTTTTATCGTATCGCAGATTTTGATTGTTCGTCTTTTCGCGCTAAATGCGCCATTGTTGGCCGTGTGCATCGAAGTCCATCATTGTTTTTCGCGCGACGGTCCCTCAACTTCCGGTGTTCGATTCTTTCAGCTGTAATCTACCTACAGTCGGAATATTGTTTTTTGTACTGCGTCAGCAAATTTTCTATTCCCGCCGATCAATTCTGTCTCTTATCGATATATTATTCTCTTCTTTTCTTTCATTTTCATCGTATCACTTGCAGTAAAGTATTGTACTGAATATCCGCGAAACGATAACGAGTACGCGAAAGGGGAAGAAAAGAGAAGAGGAGAGAGGTATGAAAATACGCGATCATTTCGTGTGTGTTGCAAAATCAGAGGATAAGGAAGAACGTACACAGTTAAATAAGACACCTATGGCAAAATAAACTCAGTAATTAAGACGTGTGTACTGCGTCGAGAGCACAATTGCTAATCGAGTGTTATCTTTAATTACCGTTGTTGCGCGTGCGTACAGCGTAGTACTTAATCGTTAGCGTTACCTAATTGCGCTCAAACACAGGAAACTGGCGAAAAGGGAGAGAGAGAGAGAGAGAGAGAGAGAGAATGGAAGAACGAGAACGAAGAATAATGCTGGAACGATGAATTTATTATCGGGGCCCTTGTTTAAACGAAGCGATTTTTTTTATATCGAGTGGTAGTAGAAGAAGGTAATCAAAAGAAGCAATGCGAAACGACGAGACAAAAACGTACCAAAAAAAAAAAAAAAGAAAAAAAAGTGAAAAAATAGAAAAAGGAGATGGACAGAATTGATAATGATTCCTGAACGCGAGCCGTGTCCCCAACGTACGTTTTTATGCAATCGCCTCTTGGATAGGGGGGGGGGGGGGAAGAAGGGAAAAAAAATCATATTGTACATATTTGTGCGAGCGTCTTGATCCTAACATGTATCGTGTCGTAGAAATCTTTTTAGATTAAAGAAAAAAAGGTTAAAAGAAAAAAGAAGAGGAGAAGGAGGAGAAGCGGAAATGAAGGAAGACGGAAAGGAATCAATGATCGATCGTCGACAACTCGTTGAGAGTCTTGTCGACTCGGCTCGGATCACCGGATGGATCGATAACGAACGTTCCACACGCGCGTGGATCGTTATCGATCCGGACGAAGGATCGATCCTGTCACGGCGCTGTGTCACGCGTCGGTGTTGTTTAGTCGGGTCTGTTTCGATCTTCTCGAGCGTGGTGTGTGTCAAAGTGCAATTTGTAACTGGGTTATAACGATAGCCGCGGGCAAACGCGATTATAACGAGGCGCATGTAATTGCACGGCGATTTGTCGAGCAAAACGCGTACGATGCCGGTCATTTTTTGCGTTACCGTTGCCGAAGAGAGAAACGTCTCGCGTTAGAGATACAACAGGATCGTCCTTTCTGACGGTCGTATCCTTTTGTATCAGTCGGATCCTTCCGAGAAAGGATACGATCATCGTTTGTTACATCCGAACCGTCCTCGTTTTCTTAATGATCTGCGCCGCCGATCTCTCGCTCTGTCCGTGCGATCGATGCATCTCCTGCCGGATCGGTCCGAAACTCTGTCGACGATAAAAAAAAGTAAATAACGCTGATCCAACGAACTTATCGACTCACTCTTGTTTACGTGTTTTTTCTAAGCAATTTAAGAAAGAAGAGAAATCGAAGGGAGATCGAACAATCGACAACCCAATGCAGGGGGCGAGGGAGGGAGGGGAGAGGAAACGAACAGGGAGGAGATGCATGCGTCAGCGTGGCAAAGACCATGGCTAGAGAGACGAAAGGTGTGAAAAAAGAAAAAAGAAAAAAAACAAACGAGAACTGTATCATAATGTAGAAGCGTGTAATATCGTTAAGCTTACGATTGGGGATTGAACCCAAAGCCTTTCTCTTAGATTTATGTGCGCGTCCACTGAAGCATCCTCTCGACTCCCGGATCGATTCTTTCCTTTTTTTTTTTTCTTTTTTTCTTTTTTCTTTTCTTCTCTTTCTTCCGTAGCAAACACTTCCGTTCCGTGATTTTCGAGGGTGCACGAGCGGTAGTTAGTTAGTTAGTTAGTGCGGGGGAAAGAAAGAAAAAAAATCAATTTCGCAGCAGGCTCGACAGGGGACAGCTCGACTCGGGGATCGGATCGATTATTCGCGGTCGTCGTCGTCGTCGTCTCGCTTAATTTCTGCCGGTAGCGTGTCAACCCATCGAGAGACACGTCCTCCGGTGCTTTTAACGGATTTCAATACGGTTCTGGCAATTCCCGTCTTGCCTGGGTAATGAATTTTCATCGGCCGCGAATCTTTCAGTGACGAGTCTTTCGAGTCGACAACGACGACGACGACGACGACGACGACGACGACGACGAAATGACGTTTCAATTTCACTTGAGCAGGTTCTCCGGCCGCTGCTGGAACGGGGGTAATTGATAGGCGAGCAAAGACAGCGAAGAAACTGCTGCCTAGCTTCGTATTATCGATCCATTTTAACCCCTTAACCACCCCGATACCGACACGCCAGCCTGATGTGTTTCGATCGCCCATAATGCTCGTCGTATTTGTCCTCCGACATTTGTCACAACAGCCGATAACCACCAACCGATAACTACGGATTTCTTGTGAATCGTTCTTTATTCCGGTCGATGGGCCATTATCCTGCATTATTTAGGTTGGGTTCAGATCATATTTAAGAATGACTATTCTAACTGTACATTACACGATTGCACGCAATTAAATATACAATTATATAATGTACAATTTTATATTTTTATATATTTTGTTATTATTATTATTATTATTATTATTATTATTACATATTTACACTTTACATTTCTATAATTATATTTATTTGTATGATATAGAAACGATCGTAATTACATCGGTCTCAACTTTGGCCGGAAACTTTGAGCAAAGGGTTTCGCTCTCGTTGCTGTTCATTCGATCGTGCTGTTTGTTTTATCTCTTGTTTCTTTTTTTTTTTTTTCTTTACTTTTGTTATCTGAGGCTACATAGCTCTCTCTCTCTCAATCAAGAGTGACGAGACTTTCCACCGTTTTATTCCACACCTTGCGAAAGAGTTGCCGATTAACTTTTATTTCATCGACGATGGTCGGATCTACGATAGGTTAATGGCGTACGTCTGTTCGCGTGGATACACGACAATGAACAAAGAAAGAGAGAAAGAGAGAGACTACGGAGAGGTGCAGACACGTTCGCCTCTCGGCGTGCCAGAATCCACAAGGCTCGTGGTTAATTGGACATCGAACGGACGGACAGACGGACGGACAAGCGTTTGCGACCTAGATTCGCTTCGCGAGCTTTCTCTGACGTTGCTCCCTGACCAAGCTCGCGAACGGTTCGTCGTTCAACTTCCTCGACAGAGTCGCGTGCCACCCGAATTGCGATCGCATAGATCGCGCGTCGATCGTTACTTTGGAAATAGTTTCTGCCAATTGTCCCGGATGATACTCGCGCCGGTTTCGCTCGGGGAAAGACGTGGAAACGTGCAGATGATATCTTCGATGATCCGTGCAAGATTTCTTTAGAAAAAGAATACTTTTACTTTTTTTCCCCCCAGAGAAACGGCGTGCAGGTTCTCGTTAAACACAGTGTGTATGTGTGTTCCTCCGTGGCGTTGCACTCTCGAGGGAGCGACAAACGCGAATAAAGTGGCACGTGTCTTCTGGCGTCCGCCGCTCGCACGTGTAACTATTTCCGGCCACTTCCGCGAACGCGTTATTCTCGGCCGAGTTTATCCACGACTTTCCGCCAAATAGGTCGACACGACGTAGAGGCTACGCGGAAAACGGGGACTTTTGCTGCACGATGCGTTTCACTCGCTCTCCGTCTTCCAAAGCGATCGAATCGCGCCGTTTGCACGAGTTTGCCCGACGCAATTCGCAATCATTCACTGACGATGCGTGTACAGTTTACGCGTTACGTCCCTCTTTCGACAGTTTATTCTGAAAATTGTTATCGCGTTAGTAACGTAATTGTTTTTAAACGTTATATTCACGAACGTTTGTTTCGATATGCTATTTTGATCATACGCGATACTAATTACAAAGGTGTAAATATCTCTCGTTTGAGATACTAAAAAACTATTTCCTATTAAGAAAAGTATCTTTCGAGGCTAAAGGCCGCTTGCGCGTAAAATAAACTGTACACTCGTGGTATAGCAAACGGTGGAGGCTGCACGTCGAGAATTCTTTGCCCCACAATTTTTAAATATTTTCTCAGTTTCAAGTACATTCAAATACAACGCAACGGCATAATAAAGTAATCAATTTATTACTTCTTAATAATTTCCATCTATAACGATACCATACCGACGAGAATGAAAATAAAGAGAAAGCGACGAATTATTGTACACGGTTTGGTTGCTCGTTATGGTCCGCGAACCAGTTGCCAGTCGCAAGTGGTTGAAAAGAGTTTACGCGAGTCGAGTCGAGTCGGCAGAGGTAAAGAGAACGTTCCGTGCGTTTGAAGATTGCGAACACACTCTGCCGACAACGCGAGCGACGAGTGACAAAAAAAAAACATGTAAAAAGACTTACGAGGAATGTTGCAACTTGTTTCAGGTGGGTCCGGCAGGGGGGAGGGTGAGGCAGGCTCGAACGAGATTCCAACTGGTCGACGAGGCGGCAGTGGCGGCGGCGTGGGTAGCGGACTCGGGGGTGGCGGAGGAGGAAGCGTGTTGGGGGTTGGCGGTGGTGGCGGAAGCGTCGGCGGAGGGTCCGGAAGCAGGAGCGGCTCGGGGGGTGGGGGCCGATCGAGGGACGAGCCGAGGAGGCACACCCTCGGCGGCGATCATCAGCCGTCCCTTCATCATCAGCAGTTCAACGCGGCCCAGCAGCTGCACCCCCTTCATCCCCATCATCTGCCGCCGCCACACGGCCAATACGGTACGCCGCCCACGCGTCACACCACCATGGATCTCGAGGTGAATCTTTGCTCCCGCAACATGTAAATACACATTGACTCTTATTGTTTGCGCTCTCGTTTACCACCACCACCACCACTCTACCACCACACTTTTTTTCCGAAAAGTCCTCTTTCTCTTCGTGTTCTACTTGCTCTATATATATATATATATATATACATACTTGATTGGAGACAACCTGCGCGTCGTGCCCCAATCTTCGTCGCCCCCCACCGCAGGATGGTGTTTTGGGATCGAGGACGACGACGACGACGACAACGACGACGACGACATCGGTGTCAGAACTCTCGGAGAAACGATCCTCCCGCGCGATCCAGCCTCTGGCAGGAGCGTTTCTCTCCCTCTTTTTCTCTCTGTGTTTCTCCGATATTTTTTCTACGTCTGCTCTCGCCTCGTTTCATCGATCACGCGCAGGGGCTGCGAACGCAAACAATCGCCTTTCGCGAATCTTCACACGCGGACGCACGGACAACGTGTACTCTCTATCCTCCCCTCGATCGAAATTCGCGCGCCAAGAAGACCATTCTCTTCCGAGTATCCGGCGAACGACTTTAACGGACGCGTCTTCCGAGGTCAAGAGCCCTGCGGCTAACGAGAGGAACAGGTTAATTAAGCTCCGCGTCGTCGTATCGCGTCTCTGCCTCTGTCTCTCCGCCTCGATCGCGTTCAAACCTATTCAAACCTATTCAAACCTGTTCGATCGAAAAGTCGAAAGATTCGAATCGTTTTTCGAAACGTTAAAAACAAAAAACAAGTCGTGCAGAAATCTGTAAAACACTTTGCGACAAATAATACTTGCGTAGTTAATCTCGCGTGTCGTGATTTATCGTTCTGATTCGAATCTTTTAGTGCCTGTATCGTCAAAGAGTTGATAGAAAGCAATCCATCATCCAGACTAATTGTCGTTCAATGCGGTGTGAAATTTTCTTGACGATACTTTTTCCACGTAGTCTCGTGTTACTCTCGGGATACTTTCAACTCGACTAAAGTGCAATTTTTGTTGGCACGGTGTTTCGTTTATTTCCGGAGATTTGTGTCTTTCGGATGAAGCCGAGCGAGGAATTCGATGGGGGAGGAAATGATGGAACGAGTTCGGGGAAATAAAACAGCCGGTAATCGTCAGCCCCTGTGCGAGTCTTTCCATAATCGTTTACGTATTATACTTACTCGGCTTGATGGCGTACACGTGGCACACCTAATCATTTCACGTTATCGTGCACTGCCACGCCTTTCTGCTCGTTCGTTCCCTCTGGATATTTTCGATATTTACTCACCTTTCGATTCCCTTTCTTCGCGACACGTGTGCACGTCGTCGTTGAGAGAGAGAGAGAGAGAGAGAGAGAGAGAGAGAGAGAGAAAAGAGAAAGAAACAAAAAAGAAAAAGAGAACGAGACAATCTTCAACTTTGCGGAACGCAACGGAGAGTGTATACGAGAGACGAAGGAAGAAAAAGAAAGAAAGAAAGAAAGAAAGGAAGGATGGAAAAAAGAAAGGAGACGGAAGAAAGATTGGCGATCGTGAGAGATTTTTTGCAGGATCAGACACGCAGCAACCACCGAGAATCGAGGCAAACCAGGCCAGCTCGCAATAGCCGATCGTGATCGCGATCCGCGATCGCATTGTTTTTTCGCTCTCACCTTTTTTTTCCACAGTGCATTTCCAGCAAACCCCCTTTTTCTGCTCGATGCATATATACGTCTAACTGGTTTACTTGTGTGTGTGTGTTTCCGTGTGACCTGCCGCCGCCCAACAGATGGGGACCAAGTCTCGCCAGAGAAAGGTAATTTCTTTTTCTTCTCTCTGTCTTTTTTTCTTTTTTTTTTTTTTTTTTCTTCTCCTCTCCGAACGTTTGTTGAATCGTTTCGAATCGCACGATGGCATGCGTCCTATTTTTTTTTCCCTCTTCTTTCTTTTTCTTCCTGTCGTTTTTCTTCTTTCTCTTTTTATTTAACCATCTACATACGTCGTCGCACGAATTTTCTCTCTCTGTCTGTCTGTTTTCTTTTTGTTTTTTTTTTTTTTTCTGTCTGTGTTTCCTTTTTCCATTTCACGCGCCGTCAAACGATTCGAGCGATCGTTTTCACAGAAAAAAAGACACACAAAAAGAAAGCGGCCTGAAAGGGCGAGAGAGGATCGACCTGGGTGTGCTTGACGAATTGGGTTTGATTGTTGCAGTCGCCTCTTCCGCGCGGGTACCCGCCTCCCTCTTCGACGATGTTATTCGATGACGACCCGGGCATCATGTCCGAGGTGGAGACATCGAGCACAGGATTTCGACGGGGTGGCAAGCAAAGAAGCAGCCTCCCCGTCGTACGGACCCCCAGCAAGACTCTGGAGCGACCACTAGGTAACGATCGACCCGCGATAGAATTAGGAGCGTCTTGTTGCTGCCTCGCTGCTCGATGCCCTTGTCGGACATTCCTGACGAAACGATGCGTTTCTGTGGACGGTTCCTTAGGTCTAGTGTTCCTGCAGTATAGGAACGAGACGAAGCGGGCGCTCCTACCCAACGAAATCACTAGCATAGACACCGTTAAGGCACTCTTCGTCAGAAGCTTTCCCAAGCAACTCACTATGGAATATCTAGACAGTCCTCACGTCAAGGTTTACATACACGACAGCAACAAGGACATGTTCTACGAACTCGAAGATCTCAGGTTTGTACGCGTCTACCTACCATTTCCCGTGCAAACTAGACTCTCTCTCTCTCTCTCTCTCTCTCTCTCTCTCTCTCTCTCTCTCTCTCTCTCTCTCTCTCTCTCCTGCTACTTGTAATTAGTTTTGTTCAGGTGAAAAAGTAACTGCGTCTTTTCTTTTCTTTTCGTTTCTTTTTCAGTCAACTTCAAAGTTTTTCGGCCTTTCTCAGTTTGATAATTATCTTTCTTAATTCGATATCCGACGTCGTCGGTAGTGGAAATTCTTTGGACATTGTTTGAAACAGTTTGAAAGCCAAATCTCGTTCGCCAAAACACGTTGCATCGATTTTCCACGAGCTTGCGAAATGTTGGTCGTTCGATTTTACATTTTCAAGTCGATCTCCCTTTTCTGAAATAAGCTCGAACAATCAGGTCCGCCAGATTGCAGAATGAATCGGCGGTTTGAAACGTAGCTGGTAGTTAGAATTTATAAAAGTATTTACAGTTGTGAGACGTACGTACCAAGCGAGGAAAGATACGCAGCTACTCTGTTGCCAACCCAATAAACGAATCTGCACAATTTCGACGACAGTCGATCGCGTTCGATCTCGGTCCAACAGTCGATTTATCTCTCTTTCAACGAGTAAACAAGTATTCCCCTTCGTCGATCGAGACTACAGCGACAAAGGGTTTCTCGTTTCGATTGCAGGTCGCATCTGAGAGACATCCGAGACCGCAGCGTCTTGCGACTGTTCGAGAGTAGCGACGGTGTGACAGGGATGCCAGGACCGCTGGGGATACCGGGGACAGGAACGGGACTGCCTCCTCACTGGGAGGACCAGAGCTACTTCAGCGAGCCGGAATTCGACAGCGAATACCAGCATCAGCATATTCACAAAAGCAAGGTAACCAGCTTCTCTCTCTTCTCGACGTGTTGCAAAACAGTCGTCGTGTTGGACGATTTCCGCGTCGGGCTGCGTTGGCCATTCCCCAAATATCCAAATAAATGAAATATTTAGACGTCGCTCAAGTGCTTGAACCGCGTTCAACGTCGAACACGTTCGTTAACGTTGAAACCGGAGACTTTTTGCCAGCGAGAAAATTCGAATGTGGCTTGCAAGAGTTTGCAACAGCGCAAATAACGGGTTGCGCTCGACCTCGTTGCGCGCGGCGAAATTTTTTTTGTTCCCGAGAAACTTCGAGTCGGCAACTCTGACCAAAATCCGAATTTGATTCGTGCGCAATCATTTTCAGTATTCATTGAACGCGAACCAACGGTAAATACGACAAATATTGTGATTGGCTGAAACGATTATCGAGAAACGCGTCGAATACAAATGAGAAAGAGGGAGAGTGAGAGAGGTGATTTAATTACACAAAATTGATGAGTTTACAATCAGCGTATAGTATCGTTCCAGTGATTCCCAGCTCCTCGGCAATCCGGCGAATTGTTAGCAGGATAAAAGGAAAAAGAAAAAGTGAGAATTTACAAGTATAAAGAAAACTGGCATTACGCGCGATTACGCTATAAAAAGCCTATCGCGTTGCACCCGTTTTTCTATCGAATTCCACACTTCGCGCAACGTTGGATCTCTCAGAATCGTACTTACATACAATCGCACACGACCCAGTTCGTTCGAATCGATCAGCACGCATGTGCAAACACTGTCTATGGTAATTCATTACGACACATGGTGCATCGATTAGTCGTTTCGTTATCTCATCGACCAAGCGAAAGAAACGTAATCTCAAGCGTTGTTGTCGCCGACTTACGAAACCAGCGTTACGAAAACAGAAGAGAAGGAGAAAATTGTCGACATCTTAGTGCAACTGTAATATCGGTGAACCGTTAAGAGGTTAATCTGTTTTATGGCTGCTTTTTTTTTTTTTTTTTTTTTTTTTTCTTTTTCCAACTCTGCCAGCTCCGTCGGTCGTCGTCGGTCGTTAAACGAACGACTTGGAAATGATCCTGGACTGAAAAGAAAAAAAATCTCTCCGTACGCTCTCGCAAATAGGTAATAAATACGTCTCGGGAACGCGATCGACGGAGCAGCCTATTCGTCCATTCGTCTCGTATCGCGTAATCGCGCGTTCGAGATCCGTCGGCCTCGGGTTCACGGCACGTAGGAGAGATCCCGCGTCAGCGATAGCGGTCGGCTACCGCTACGTTGCCGAGCGCGATAACCATAAATCTCTGGTCCCTCGGACTGGCCTCCTCCTCTGGTCGATGCCGCGAATGGACCCGAGTCGGGCCGACTTGCTTGCTTTCTCTCTCTCTCTCTCTCTCGTTCTCTCGTGGCTGCGGTTTCGATCGAGAACGAAACGCCTTGTTAAAACGCCTTGCACGTCTGCACCGCTGGTACGTGCGCCGCGCCCGAGTAGAGTTTCTTCGGGACCGACCGCCAACCGAAGATCAGAGCTTTCTCGAAAGGCTCCTCCGCGCAACCGTCGCACACGTCCATGATCGCTCTGACTTCGGCCTCCGCGGGCTCCCTCTCGTCGTCCTTGTTCTCGTCGTACTTGGGCAACTGCAGCCCGAAATTGGTCAGGCCTGCGAAGTAGTCGTTGTCCAAGCCTTGAGAGACGTAGCCGTCGTCGATGATCAGACCGTCCCCCAACTGCGCCAAGCCTCGTTTCTTCTTGCTCGAGTCTTGTTTCTCTGGATCGTCCTCGTCTCGCCTGCTCTCGGACACTCCACTCTCTTTTCCCTTTGGCACGAAGGTCACCTGCGAGCGAGAGACCGCTTTTTAGCACTCAGGTGTTAGACTTTTAGATCTTTGATTTAGGTTTCAAGTTTACGCGTCGACCGCGATGCCAGATTAACGGATGATTCAGCGGATGATTTGAACGTTTTCTTCGCGACTCTTACCTTTTCATTTTCGTTAGAGTCAGACTCTCTCTCCTTTGGCACGAAGGTTACCTGCGAGCGAGATTGCTTTTTAGCTTGGGTCTTTTAGGCTTTTAGATTGGAGGCAAGTTTTCGCGACTCTCTTACCTTTTCGTTTTTCGACTCTCTCTCCCTTGGCACAAAAGTTACCTACGAGCGAGATCGCACTTTAGCTTTAGATTAGGCTTCTTTTTTTTAGATTAGATTTCCGTCCATTCGTCGCGCGATATTAATATCCGGGATTTAAGGGGGTATTCTAGTGTGAAAAAAAATCGATTCTTTTTTCTTTTTTTTTTTTTT